TCTGCGTTCGGGCTCCGCCCCGCCAGCGCTGCAGTGTGCCGATTGGTGGCGCCTTCGCCGGGACGTGCCAGGCGGAGTTGGAAACAGAGGCGTGGGCGGCGCGCGGCTCGTGGCAGCCGCCAGCCGAACGCGGACTCTCGGGCGAACCAGAGGTCGCTGGCGCAGGAGGTAAGGGCCCCGCGGCCGGGCTGGGGCGCGTGAAGCAGGCGGCTCCCCTCCCCAGGTCCCTGAGCCCCGGGCCGCCCCGTCCAGGTGGTCCTGGGGCTGGGGCGGGCCGGGGCGCGCAGCCCGGGCGGGCTGAGACTTCAGCCCCGAGCAGAGGCTCGGAGAAGGGCGTTATTTTCTGCCTGGCGAGGCGGGCGGGGTGAGGGCTGCGGAGCTCCAGGGAGAGCAGGTGTGGCTCCGTGGCCGAGGCGGGGTCACCGGGCGGAGGGTCGGGAGGAGCCCGTAGGCGCTGAGTCCTGGGGCTGCAGGGATCTCAGCGCGCCCTTTGTCGGGTGATGTTTGGGGGATTCACGGCCTCACACCGCCGTCGGGACCTCAGTGATTGGTCCCAATCTGCGGGGTCTGGAGGCGTGGGCTGGGACCACTGCCTGCCTGTGGGGAGAAAGTGTGGGTCTGCAGCTCTTTCTGGGTGGCTCCGCCCTCTTTGGCCGATTTCTTTTGGGGACCGCTTGGCCCCGAAGCGTTGGAGTTAATGACCCGGGATGGGAACCATCAAAGGAAACAGCCAGGGTTAATTTCCCATTTCACAGAGGAAGTAACTGAGGCAGACCCAGAGATGGCAGTTCCCCCCCAACCCTCCAGGCTGGGTTATTCGCATCCTGGACCATGGGTGAATCTGCTGGAGGGCCTCCGCTTTCTCTCTTCAAATACCCGCAGAACTTCGAAGGGGAGAGGTGTCCTTAAACCCCTTTGCAGGTGGGAAAACTCCGAGTCACTCCAGAACTTGGTCTCCACAGCCCAAAGAAAATATTTGTTTGGAATTTGAACAAAGCTGTTACCTCGTCGCCAGAGGATCCCAGATTCCCTCCCTGGCAAGCCCTGGAACAGTGCTGATTCCCTGGGGCAAATGACCAGAGCAGGCTGGTGTGACTCCTCACAGTCTAGGCCTCCTGGAAAGACGGACAGTCCTCCTCAGGC